CAGGCAGGACCACAGTGATAGGTTCAGCCACGACTCGAAGTCTAGGACTGAGGATCCAGGACTCAGGATCCAGGACTCAGGATCCAGGACTCAGGATCCAGGACTCAGGACCACAGCAACAGGATCAGCCTCGACTCAGGATCCCGGCGCAGATAGACACCAAAAAGAAATTTGGGGGAAGCTGGGTTATTCGGAACATGAGAGTACACGGGTACAGACAGAGAGAAAGAAGAAGTTATCTAGGTGTCCCCCGACAGTCTAAGCCTATATTGATCTGATCTTTGGGCCACTCCATATATGTGGTTTTATCAGATACACATCTGCTTTCATGCAAAGTGACCACAGTCAGAACGTTCAGATTAGAGTTCATGCAACTTTTGCGTTAATATAGATCTTTATTTATAAAATGTCTGCGCTGGCAGGAGTCATTGGAAAGGCTCTGACGGATTCATTTAAAAGTAGCCCCTGATATTTTGAAATTCTGGTTTCAATGAAGCCATTATCTTCTGGGTCTAACTCACCATCCACACACACCTCAGTACAGAGGTAGAACATGTGTTTTTGTCCTCCTTGTTATCATTTGCTCATAAATTTGCTGACTATTTATGAATCTGTAAACGCTGACTTCAGTGGCGCCTATGCTTACTACTTTGTTCCTCTTGGAGTGTGACCACTGGTATCTTATATAGGCCAACCTAAAAAAGTCAGATCTGAACAATACCTCTGAACTGAGCAATTTAGGCTGACACACACACACACACACACACACACACACAGTGATTCATCAGCCACCAGTGAGGTCATGTGGCAGTCATGTGACGCTGGCAAACGTTCAAGAAGGACCACAACATAAAAAAAGGGGAAGGGGGAAAAATGCTCTGTCATAAGGATCTCTAAAGCATTGACAAACAGATGTGCACAGCATGCGTACACGCACACACACACACACACACACGCACATGCACTGACAAAGCCTTGTGAACGCTGAGAGCTTATCATGCAAGTGGCCTATAAAATATGAATGATATCGTGCTATATATTTTTTATCAGCCAGCCTAAGGGCATGTATGAACTGGAGCAGCAACAATGCTCTGTTTCTCTAGCCGCCGCGCTCTTTAGTGCATGGAGATGAGGAACCACATGCATGTCTACATCATGTGTCTTCCGGTGAATGGGGTGCTTATATGCATATACATTTACAGCAGTGTTGTTGCATGGATTGTGTATGTTTCTGAGAACGATAGTGCATCCTTCAATGGGTCTGGGGAGTTGCTGTCAGAGCTTTGCATGCAGCTCTGAAAGTTAATTCACACAGCTGTCTCACACACACACACACACACACACACACACACACACACACACACACACACACACACACACACACACTTTAAGAGAGAAAAAGTGAAGGGAGGAAAAATCTACCTGCATAAGCTGCAGGCCTGATGGCAAGGAAAACAGTTGCAGAGTTTGCAGAAAGCTGCTGTCTGCACTGTTAAAAGAGGCTTGCTGTCTCTTTCAACTCTCCTTTTCTCACACACACACAGTTTCATAGACACACACTCTTGGTTTGGAATTGGAGCCCACTCACACTCTTTAGAACATTTGAACACTAGCCCTTGTGTAGGAGTGCGCTTTTGGCACACTGCGAATGTGTGAGTGTGATTATGAGAGTGCGAGAGAGCGAGACAGCGAGAGGATGTACTTGAGACCGAGTGTGAGAGTTTGTGTGTGTTTGTATGTGAGGAGCAAGTGCATTTGTGAGTGTCTGCTGCACAAAACAGAGAAATAAGGGTGAAAGAAAACACAGGAAAAGGAAGAGGAGAGCGAGAAAAAGGCCCTGTCTTCTGAAAACGCCGACAGGTTGACAGGTCTGCTGAGACTCGCAGAAACAAACAACTGGAGACAGAGCGAGGGAGATGAAGAGGAGGTAGAGAAAACTGAGAAAAGAACAGAGGAAGGAGAGAAAACCTACACAACATCTATAAACAGACAGACAAGTTGAGCATGTACACAATACTATTCTCTAGCGCCCCAAAATCCTATTTCCTTTTTTTCATTCAGCTATAATCCAGTTAGTCTTCTCTTTATACTACATACAGTAGGCTACACTCTGATCTGCGTTTTAAGCCAGAAAAGTTAGCTGGAAGTTTGACTGTAAATTCACAGACATGGCATGAAAGTGAATTACTGTAAGAGAAGAAGAAGAAAGCAACAAAGTCGAAAAAGGAAGACAAAAGCAGGAGAGAGAGAAGTGACAAGTCGCAGATGCGAGGGACGAGGATGGAAATAGAGTGCATGTGGCTTTTCAGAACGTAAATAAAGTGACGCTTTATTAAGAGGGGAATTGTCTGAGAAGATGATATTGTGTAATATCGCCTTCCGCAAGATTTGCATGAGTCCCGGCGCGGATCTTCACAATACAGCACTCTATTTCTGTGAATCAGCAACAAAATAAGCCTCCAGCTTTGCCAGTAGAAGATCTCATTTTCACACCTATTCTTCCGCTTGTCCATAGATGATATTAGAGATTCATTTTCAAAAGAGAAAAAGGAAATAAAGAATGATGAATGACAGAATTTATCTTGGATACTGGTATATTATTAGATGACTGAGGAGAATTGGCTGCACCCAAAGCAATAATAGAGTTAGAGCCCTGCAAAACTACCATACCTCTCACTATTGATTAGTTCATGTACAGCCTAGGACTGTCAGGGCCGTCCCTGGCCAACTTGGGGCCCCAAGCGACATTGTGAGATGAGGCCCCCCCCCCACCGACAAGAGTGAATTTTTTTTTGGGGGGGAAACAAAGTACTTTGCAAATATAATTCCTGTTTATTATTATTATCAACACAGTTACTTTTTTATACAGTGAGGTAAATGGTAAATGTCAACTATAGTATGTCGGTCAGTATGCGCTTACAGGTGAATACGTCTGCATTTGTCAAATACTAGCCTCAAAAAGATTAAAATATAATTAATGTAAATAAACTACTTCTACTAATAATAATAATCAATTCAATAATATAAATACTATATTATTTTATTATAATATAGTTGTAATATAGTCAAGACAAAACATGCTTATGACATGCTCAAAAACTGATATTTCTGAAATCTGTATTCAAATGTAATTCCCTCTGTCAGCAATGTATCAACAACTACACACACATTTCTCTCAGTATTTCTCTGTGTTGTGGTTGACATGATGATGACTGTTAGGAGTTAAGGGGAGAGGCTGAGCATCACCATGAAATGTGCAAATTGACATACAAATGAATAAAGGGGGAAAAAATACGCGGAGAACTGCGCCGATGCCCCCTGCGCAATGTGAGGCCCCATGCAGCCTGCATGATCGGCCTGTAGGGAGGGACGGCCCTGTGTTGATTAAAGACATTTTGCGATTTATTGTGTAAATATGGGCCTACCATTATATCTAACATCTCCACAGGCACCTTTGGTAGAAGTACAAAGTTGAAGACAGTTAAGAATGGAACAAAATTAATAATATTGTTAAATATCGTTATTAAATTGTTTGTATTGAAATGTGGAAAAGACAAATTGCTTTACGAAAATAGTTGCATTCTAATCCTTGCATGTGAGAGTGAAGCTGTAGTGGGAACAGCCCTTATTAAATGAAACATTTACAAAACTTTTAAATACCAGGATGAACAGGAAGAAAAGAGACATTACAGAAGCTGGAAAAAGGGCCTCAGTGTTCCTGGGACTCAGTTGGAAAGAGAGGAGCGTTGAAAGAAAGACTTGTCCTGGACACTGTCAGGAATGGAGGAGAGAAAGAAAGGATGTGTAGATAAAAGAGTGAGAGAGACATAGATGGACTTCGGCTGGTTGGAGAACAGAAGCTGGTGGAACGGAGAGAGTGTGAAAGAGAGAGAGAAGGAAGGAGAGGGTGAATACCAGCTATTGTTGGAATGCCGTAGCAACACGCGGCAGAGAGGAAGGGGGAGGTGTGTGTGTGTGTGTGTGTGTGTGTGTGTGTGTGTGTGTGTGTGTGTGTGTGTGTGTGTGTGTGTGTGTGTGTGTGTGTGTGTGTGTGTGTGTGTGTGTGTGTGTGTGTGTGTGTGTGTGTGTGTGTGTGTGTGTGTGTGTGTGTGTGTGTGTGTGTGTGTGTGTGTGTGTGTGTGTGTGTGTGTGTGTGTGTGTGTGTGTGTGTGTGAGCGGGGGTCAGTGGGTTTCGTACTCTGTTCAAGTTGCTCCTTGTCAAAGATGCGTCGAGTACTTTGTTGGCAACCTAGCGACTGTGGGCTTAAATTATTAGGTAGTCTGGACACGAGCCTAAAACAATCCAGAACTGCATTTAAGACCAATGTATAAACACCCAGAGACTTCAGTTGATGTAGCAAGACATAAGCACTGCTCCGGTTCGAGATCAAATACACTTCTCCAATGTTGCTCTATGACAAATAGGACAAAGAAGCTAAAGCCATGCTGATGGGTCAGTGTACTTTTTCAACGCGGCGCTTTGAGCTAAATGCTAACATGTTAACATGCTCATAATGGCAATGCTAACATGATGATGTTTAGCAGGTAACGTAAACAACATTCGTTATCGTATTGTATCCTGTTAGCATTCTAGCATTAGCGCATTAGCACAAATAAGTTTACAGCTAAGGCTGATTTCTATCTGATGACACTAGGTGGAAAATGCAATCATCAAAAGTCAATAGGATATATTTGTTCTCTTAAATTTCTGTAAAAAAAAATCTTAGCAATTCATTAAATCGCTTCATTCTGAACTAAATTGTTGGGCTGATCCATCGACTGATTTTTGACATCAATACCCACTTGTTCTTCTAAGAAAATAGACATATCATCATTTGTCATCCATATGAACACTGCTTTAATGTGATTCAACATACACTGTACTTGCTCTCAAATATTTGGAAACCTTTTTTTGTTGACTGTTTTAATCGCAAATTAATATTTGTATGTGTAAATCCTTTCCATCCTAATAATCCCACTGTTTCCCTTTGTCGTTTTAGGATCCTGCTGGCATCTTTGAGCTGGTAGAGCTGGTGGGAAATGGCACCTATGGGCAGGTGTACAAGGTAAGATACACACATAAACAGCCTTGACATTAGGCTGTCTTTTTGATAGCACACTTTTCCCTTCTTATCAGCTTCTGTTCATTCTTTCCAATATGCCAAAATTGAATAAAGGGTAGACATGTGCACTGTAACTGACGGAAACAGAAAAGACAGGAGATAAAAGCAGAGCACAAGCTTGAGAGAAATGGAGCGAATGGAAGAGACTAATGCAGGGAGGAGAAGCAGAAACTGGGGCACATTAAAGTGCTTTTAAGAGAATTTCCCCTTCTCCTTTTTCTCCACTTCCTCCCTGCTTTATTTGAATTACTTTCCGTAAGTAAGCATGGGGTTTATAATTCCTCCCTTCTAGATGAGGTATTTCAAGGGCAAGTGTTTCTGATACACAGGAAGTGCTTGTGCTCAGTGTCTGATGTTGTGACATTACTGTGGTTTAGGGTTTTAGCTGTCAGCTGGAGTCAGCTGTTTCCCCACTGTCGTTTAAACACTATCTCTCAGTCCATGTCAATGACTGAACTTCCTCTCCCCTCCATGATGGCCCGACGTTCTCTGGTCCTCACTTCCTTTTCCTGATCCTTCCCCTCCATCCTGCCGCTCTGCAGGATGTTGCATCAGCCTGCACATGTTTGTTTAATCTGGAATACACATGTGTTTGTTTAAATGTGTGTAGGTATGGACATGTGAAGTTCCTTGTCAGGGCAGGTATTTTATGAGTGTGAAATTGTGTCTAATGGAGCAGAGAGTCTAGGTCAGGTGGTGATGGAGAGGAGCTGGTCTTACAGCTGATTGGACAGAATGAAAGGTCAGGCCGAGGTGGGACATGCTTCTCCAGGCCTGTAGGTGTGTGTGTGTGTGTGTGTGTGTGTGTGTGTGTGTGTGTGTGTGTGTGTGTGTGTGTGTGTGTGTGTGTGTGTGTGTGTGTGTGTGTGTGTGTGTGTGTGTGTGTGTGTGTGTGTGTGTGTGTGTGTGTGTGTGTGTGTGTGTGTGTGTGTGTGTGTGTGTGTGTGTGTGTGTGTGTGTGTGTGTGTGTGTGTGTGTGTGTGTGTGTGTGTGTGTGTGTGTGTGTGTGTGTGTGTGTGTGTGTGTGGAGAGTCACGTGTGGGGACTCGCCTCCCCGATGGGGACAAAATGGAGGTCCCCATGAGGGGGATCATTAATTTTAGGGTGAAGACTTGGTTAGGGTTAGGCATGTGTTGGTTATGGTTAAGGTTAAGATAAGTCTCCAGGAAATGCATGTAAGTCAATGTAATGTCCCCTGAAGTGATGTATACATGGTGTGTGTGTGTCGCTGGTGAAAAATCAAAAGGAATGGCGAACAGGAGAGTTATGTGTATCCATGTATTGCTGACTCGGCTGTCTTGGTGAAAGTCACGGCTCATTTGCTGGCTGACATTCAGCCGGTCTGTTCCTATACATTACCGTGGCAACAGCAGTGGCTAGTCGGGTCTGTGGTCCGTCCAGCTGCTGCACGCTGGCTTGTGATTGGGTGTCACTCTGTGGGAAATACTCAACAGTCTGGACTGAAGTTGATTTTGTTACAGCTGTAGATTGACAGATCCATTTGACAAGATAACAAGATGTGTACACCTATAAAGTTTTCAATATATGAATTAGAATTGGAGATCATTATCATAATTTGCACATTGTTCGTGCTAGATTATTTATATTTAAAGTTGTCCTGAGGTGGTAAATATTATTAACTATTGGGTAAGATTTGTTGCACGTATTCTAAATGTCATGGTTGTACATTTCACAGTAAAACAGTCGAGCTGAATTTGTTGACCAATAATGTAACCTCAACTGTTTTCATAAGGGGAAAAGGAAATAAACTCCAGTGGTTGAGATGGGCCCCAGGGCACTCTGTAATGACAGGCTGGAGAGCACGCTAGTTTGTAGTTATTGAGCGCTCACATACCATCGTTTTGTCTAATCACACGATCACATACAGACTTTTGGTCTTATGGGGAAACCAGATACAGATTTCTGTTGTTCAGACAAACAAGCACACAAGCAAAATATTCAGTTTTAAACTACGTTCTGACATTTTTTAGATCAAATATTTATTTGAGGACATTAATCATCGAATTAATCAATATTTAAAGAGTAGTTCTAATAGAAATATAAGTTGTTGTTAACTTGCCTAAATACTATAAGGGCAGAAAACATGCTTTGTAATGCTTACTGTCGAATATTAGCCCTTCAATGCTTTGGAAGGAAATACAGAAGTAAATCCGGAAAATATTGGATTCATCCGTTCAGATAAGAGCCAGTCACTTGAGTCAAAATGCCATCTATTTTAAATTCCTCATACGGCCGAGGCAGCCGCCTGAAGAGGATCATCTTGTTGTGAGCAGGTGAGTCACTGAGATGATAAATTAACCTTTAGCCCGGTTAGTATTAGTGAAACGGAATTGCTCCGGCTCTCTGTGAACCATTTTTAGACACTTGTTATATCAGAAAAACAACATGTGGGAATACCATCAATACTATATATAGCTCCTGACTGTTAGTATCCCTATCTGGATCAATGTGTGCTGCAGAGTGAACACAGGTGGAGTTTAGATTCAGGAGTCAGGCGGGCTGTAAACATGATATTAATTCTGATTCCAAAAAGAAAGTCAATTTGCTTTGTGGCCAGGAGCCAGATTGTTCTAATGTGTCTGTGATCAAACACTGCATGTAGACACGTTTTGCCTCGTGTCTGCTGCAGCAGTTTAGAACAATTATGAATATACAAAAGTCCGGCAGTGGCTCAGTCAGTAGGGGCTTGGACTGTGAGCCGTAGGGTCGCCGGTTCAAGTCCCCGACCAGACCTAAATATGGAGTGTGGACTTCTACTGGGAGAGGTCTCAGTTCACATCCTGCCCTGCCGTGGTGCCCTTGAGCAAGGCACCGGACAACCCGTAGCACTCCCATTGCTCCCCGGGCTGCCCACTGCTCCTAGTACTAGACTCCTGGTACTCCTGGTTAAAAACACATTTCACAGTGTGCTGTGTGCTCTGCATGTGTGACCATTAAAGAGGGTTTCATCCCTCCCAATTCTATTCTATTCCAAAAGTCCTCTATTCAAGCTTCTACTTATTTGTTCCAAGCTTCAAAAAATCAATGTTATTAGTTAAAGTCCCAACTTCAACGTTACTGTTTTTTTAATTCACTGAAACTAAATTATTCATTTATTTGGCTGGACACATTTAGGCTTCACTCGGGCTTATTACAAATGTAATAAGTCTGTTGGATGAAGTGAAAAATGCATCAGGTAAAAGCTAAGAACCTCCAGCTGACATCTTTTAGATTAACATCCTCAAATCAGATACTTTGGTGTTTTTCCTGCAGCAAAAACATGACTGTAAGACCAGTCCTCTGCATTCTGCTGCAGTAGCTTTTACTCAGTGTACTGTGGGTAATGAAGCCAGAGATATGTAGGTTTAAGTGTACCCATGCATGCGTCCTTTTGTGTGTTGGGGATAGTAATGGCCAGTAGCACTGTGTTTTATGTTGTTGTTAAAGGGCCAGTATGTGCTGCAGTTCTGTGTGTCTGGGAATAAGCGATAACAGGTTTATCAACACTTCCATTACCCCATCTAGTTAAATGATACAGATCTGCTCCGTCCTCTCTCTCCATCCCTCGTCTTTTCCCTCACGTACATCCAACATCTCGTCTCAATTAAAAAATGTCTTGAAAAGTTGTCCCGGGTTGTTTTTATTTGTTGCAATTTCTCTGTCAGCAAAAAAGAGTTTGTCCAAGAACAGTGATAGATGAGTAGCTGCAGCGAAAAGATAATTTTAGCTCGACTTCTCCTTTCTCATCTTACATCTCCATGGCTTGTTTCTTCTCCTCTGTCTAATCATCCCCATGACTTCATCACTCCTCGCTCTTCTTGTTATCAATATGTAATTACGTTTTTTTTTCTCTTTTCTCTTGTTTTTTTGTGCTGAAACTTCCTTGGGCGTGCTGTACTTAAGGGATCAGCCTTTGCCTACAGCATACGTATGTATAGCTTCTACTGGCTGCTCTAAAAGGGCCATAAATAGAGAACACGGGTAATGCTGAATAATTAAACACATTCTCTCTCCACTCCTGTCCCTATTCGCCATCCCCTCTGCGTTAGCTTCCTTCTCTTCTCCTACACTTGTCTCTCTCTCTCATCATCTCACTCCCTCATCGGGATTTCCTTCCTTTACTCTGCCACGTCTCTCTCCTCCACTCTCATATCTCCAGGCCTCCCTCCTTCCCCTACATGCGCTCTTCTTTTACATTTAATTTTACCCTGCTTCAGTTCTGTACTGTCTCCCGCTTCTTTCTTATGCTTGTGAATATTTTATGTGGCCTTTGGGAATTACAGTTCTCTGAATTGAGGAAGGTCTTCGCCTCGCAGGGGCGGGAAAAACATCCTCCCCTCGCTAGCCAATAGAGAGGCGAAGTCCCTCCCTTCCCGGAGGACCTCCATGGGACCTTATTACGGAAGAAGTATGTATTGAAGTCAATGGGGAGAGAAAGATTATCTTTAGATCCCGTTTGAATTGGGCCACGAATTACACATATGATGTTTGTCCATTTAAAAGATAATTTTGCAAGTCAAAATTTTTTAAATGTGTCGTAAAACTGTGAAGTAAATCTTTTTCTGTGTGAAACGCTCAATGAACTACATCTCCCGTCTCGCACCAACACCAAGACGGCCGTCACGTTGAAACATTTCACTTCTTTCTTTCAGAATGAGGCGAAAAGTATTAAAAGAGGTGAAAATTACTCCAAGTCTGGGCACGTTGAGAGCTGTGCATACACACAAGGGGAGTTAGTCGGTTCCGTGAGAGCCAGCATGCGGGACCGGGATTCTGGGATTTGTAGTCTTTCTAGTTGCGTATTTTTCATAGTCTTGTATTTCAACAGTTTTACGACAAACTGTGACTTTTTTGACATGGAAATTATTTTTTAAATTGACAAACATCATATGTGTAATTCATGGCACAATTCAAACGGGATCGAAAGATAATCTTTCTCTCTC